ATTAAATTTAATGCGTTGGGCAATGGGGAGCCAGTGGGGGAGAGGCAGAGGGGGGTGGCAGAGGTGGAGCGGCTGGTGAGGTGGATGAGTCTGGCCGCTGAGTTCAGGATGGTCTGAAGCGGGGAGAGCCTGCACTGGGGTAGGCCGGTGAGGAGGGAGTTGCAGTAGTCCAGGCGTGAGATAATCAGGGAGTGTACTAGTAGTTTAGTGGTGTCTGGGTAAGGAAGGAGCGTATCTTGGCGATATTGCGGAGGTGGAGTCTGCATGTGTTTGTGAGAGATTTGATATGAGGTTGAAAAGGAAAGGTTTGAGTCCAGAATGACGCCAAGGACTTTGGCTTGCTGGGCGGGATTGATGGTGGTGTTGTTGGTAGTGATGGAAAGGATGGGGGGGGAGTGGCGCGGGCTGGGGGGAAGATGAGAAGTTTTGGAGAGGTTGAGTTTGAGGAAATGGAGCGACATCCAGTCAGAGATGTCGTTTAGGAGGTGAGTGATGCGGGCGGATAGAATGTGGGGGTGAGGTGAGGGGGGATAGGTAGATTTTGAGTATCATCGGCATAGAGGTGGTAATTTGAAGCCGTGGAGTGTATGAGTTTTTGCCAAGGGTCGTTGTGTAGATGGAGAAGAAGAAGGGTCCAAGGACAGAGCCCGGGGACCCCATTTCAGAGAGGGTGAGTGGAGGAGGGTGGCACCGTTGTAGAAAACGCTGAAGGAGCGTAGATAGGACAGAACCAGGAAGAGCGGTGTCTCAGATCCAAGAGAGTATTTAAAGGGGTGGTCGACTGTTTCAAAGGCCGCGGAGAGGTCTAGGAGGGTCTAGGACAATGTATCGCCTTTGGCAGGCAGTTAGTAGTCGTTGGTGATTTTGAGGAGGGCAGTTTCGGTGGAGGATCCGGACTGTAATGGGAAGGAGGTTGCACCAGTCAGGTTGGGCCTTAGGCGATCGAGACCCAGCGCTCCAAGGAGCTTGGAAGTGAGTGGCAGCAGTGAAATTGGTCTGAGGATTGTTGAGGTTCAGTGGGGTCCAGGGAGGGCTTTTTGAGTATGGGGGTGATGTGCGCATGTTTTAGGGGGGAGGGGAAGACGCCAGTAGAGAGGGAGAGATTAAAGATGTGGGGAGGAGCGGATGAGGAAAGAGGGGTGTGACCGGAGGAGTTGAGAGGGGATGGGTCCAGGGGGGCAGGTAAGGCGGGCTTCTGAGAAGTCTGCTGACATTCCTCAATAGGGCTGAAGGATCAGTGATGGGGGGTTACGGTAGGCAGGGCCTTGCGGATTTGGTGGGGGGCATGGAGCGAGGTCATTGAAATCTGGGGGTGATTAAGGGGGGAGCTAATGGGGAGGTAGATTGCAAGTTGACTATGTCTTTGCGGATTGCGTCAATTTTTTGTGGAGATGAGTGGCAATTTCGTGGGCGTGAGTGTTTACTAAGTGGAGGTCTATTTTATAGGGAGTTGAAGGTGAGAAGAGTCGGCGAGGGCAGGTGAGAGGGTGTTAATCATTAAACTATGGCGGCGTGGAGGGAGGAGGTGGGTGAGGAAGGCAGATTTGTAGAGGGATGAGGTGACCTCACAAGCATTTGCCAAGCCATGACATAGTCATTTAAACCATGTTTTACTCAAAATGTTGATTTTCTACAATTGTCAGCTCAATCTAGTAGCCACAAAGTGGTATTTTTTCTTGATTAAGGTATTTTTTAAAAAAACCATTATGGCCACTATATGGAGCTGACAATCATAAGAAATCAACATATTAATCACATACCTGGTGGAGGAGCCTGAGGAGATGAGGACAGCCTTTCTTACACCTCCAGCTCAGGGTCCCTGGCAAAGTGAAAAGGTGGAGCAAGGCAATGGAGTGCCACGAGTGTCTTGTAATTTTTTTTTCCAGGGTCCGGTATAGGAAGTCAGGCATATCTGGCCTGGTCAATGTTGTGTAGCTTCCCCTCAAGAGATGACTGACAGGAGACTGGACCCAGGAATATCAGGCAGGAACATCGCAGCAGAGAGGGAAAACCACAAGATCAGTGGACAAGTGGTGGACTAATGTGTTGGCTGTGGCCTAGGACAGGGGTGCAGCCAGAAGCATCGTCTATGAGACTACAGGCTGGTGGTAATCATGGCACAGAAACGCAGGACTGATGCAAAGTCAGGCAAGCCGAGTCAGCATGCTAATTCAGCAACGTGTAGTCAGCCATGAAGTCACAGATTGAGAGGTAACTCTGTAGACAAGACGGCACTAGCTATGTACAGCTGACCAGTTTAAATAGCCTATTTGGCTCCAACATTAGCAAGAGGCATGCATGTACATGTGCATATGCCTGGCTTGTGGCAACCCATGATGTGAGGCTACAAGCAAGCCTGCATCTGCGTATGTACACAGATGCACCATTCTACATTCTTGCATGACCTTCAAGACATACGATCAGAATTCATGATGGCTGGGCGAATGCTTGTGACATTCGTCCAACTAATTTTTTTTTTTTAACTAGACCCCTAAGTGTAAAATTTTGCTATTAACACCCTTTTGACCTTATCCAGACTGAAGACCTGATGATTATTAAAGCCGAGCCCATAGACGAAGATGAGATATATGTGAGTGGTCTTGAGCCGTGTAAGGAAGAGGAAATCCCTGTACAGATCAGCACAGGTGAGTAATGAAAACTAAATCCAGAGAAGAGTTTCTCCTTGTTCCGTTACTACAACAATCTCTTCTTCTCCCCCCTCCTCTGTCAGTATACAGTAATAGGGGGATAGTATGTGCCCAGTGGGGGGGGGGGGGTAAGAAGCCATCAGCCTGTATTAGATTCTCACTCTCCTCCTCACATCATGTCATTGTGTGTTACCAGCCAAGAGACATGACCAGTCTCCCCCTCATACACACTCTCTAGGGCAGTGTTTCTCAACCTTATTTCAGTCGAGGCACCCTTTAAAATTCTGCACAATCTCAAGGCACCCCAATCTAAAATGTAAAAACCTATTCTTCACACATCCAGTACACCCAATGTTAGAGGTGATTTATTCTTCCCCTCACTCTGCTAATGTGACGCCAGTGTTGACAGAGAGGGGCAGGGGAGGGCCAAACAAGGATGATGTGCATACACCCAACGTCCTCCTTATCAACTGATGATATCATTGGTTGTTAGGATGCTGGCAGCTAGAAGGTTATAAAAGTGTATGTGACGGAGGATAGGCAGGACAGAACACACACGGCGGATGGCAAACACACAAAGCTTTATTGAGACAAATGTCAGTCACTCAATAGGGGGATTGCAGGGAGTGGGACAGGACCCAGTATGGAAATAGCAAGGAGAGGGCCAAAATACTTGTAGTCCAGCCCCAAAGGGCAAAGTTAAAGTCTCTACAGCAGTTTGTTATCCAACAGTGAGGTAGAGGGGCAGTACCAAAACAGTTCAAGCAGTCCCTGGTGCCTGTAAAGGGCAGCTGGTGTGGTTCTACCCTTTAGCTTGGGGCTTGTGTAGTGGCTGGTGTCCTCCCCCTATCCTTTGGGTCTTGGGCTGAGTGGCTGCAGTCTCCACCTATCCTTGGGGGTCTTAGGCTGGGTGGCCGTGGTCTCCCCCTATCCTTGGGGGTCTTAGGCTGAGTGGCTGCGGTCTCCCCCCTATCCTTGGGGGGGCTCAGGCTGAGTGGCTGCGGTCTCCCCCTATCCTTGGGGTCTGCAGGCAGGGTGGCTGCGGTCTCCCTCTTTAGCTTGGGGGTCTCAGGCAGGGTTGGCTTGCGGGGGTCCCACGTATCCTTGGGGTCTTAAGCAGAGTTAGTCACGAGGGTCCCGCCGCAGCTGGGATCCCTCGGTGGCTTGGCAGCAGAAGAGGATGAACGGGAGGAGCCCGGCATCGGTCTTTTAAGCCGATGCAGGATGCTTCCCGGTCGTCCTGGCAACGGGGCGGGCCGTGGGCGGCGTGCCCCATTGCTAGGCAACGAGGCACATCCCTCTGGACACGGGTCTCACTCTCGTGCGCGCGGCCTTTGTCCGGAGGCATCTGCAAGCGCGGGAACTCCTCATGCCTGCGCTGCGGATGCAGGGATTGTGCGGCGTCAGCCTGATGCCGTGGTCCCGAACATCTCTGCAGGAGGTCCGCATCTCTCTGCAGAGAGATGTGAACCTCGCTATCTTGTCCCCTCCAGCCTCGCCGGATGGGGATAAGATAGTAGCAGAGGTGAGAGGAGCCGCGCCTCTTGTCCTGCCGCGGCAGGACGAAAGACAGCAGGGGGTCATTCCAGATGCGGGCCAGTGGAGGGGGGAGAGCGCTAACTGTGACAGTGCACATTGTTCAGGCAAAAGAACATTTCTGAGGTCAGGTACTGATGATGGAGGAGCTAGGGTTCAAGGTCGTCCCAAAAAGATGTTCAGTAGGGTTTGAGGGCATTGCTCCTGATTTCTCCAAACCAAACTTGACCATGTAATTGTGGATCTAGCTTTGTGCACCTCAATGTAATATAATTTCAGAGCTATGTAGTGTTTTATTTATTATTATTATTATTATACATTATATAGCGCCAAAAGGTTTGCTCAGCGCTGTACATTTTAGTGGGGGACAGTACATGAGACAATACAGTAACAAGACAAAACACGAGGGGTTCGAGTGTCCTACTCTTTCGAGCTTACAATCTAGGAATGTATGGTTCTATGGAGCTGTGTACTATCAGAGTCCGAAACAACCAGTCCTTTCTCACATTTCTGCTTAAATAGCTTTGTTTTTAGAAAAGTTGGCTGAAATTCAATAAACCATGACTCTGTGCTTTTTGTATCTCCAATTCTTTTCTCCAGGTGGACGATATGACAGAAATAAACCAAGGAACTGCCCCATCAGTTGTTCAGATGGTGAAATAGAAGATTATGACATTGCAGTAGGTTCCCCAGAAATGAGTGAACGATTGACCACCCTCAATCTTGACCCAGTACTGTATAGCTCAGGGCTGTCCTCTGATCCCTCTACACCTTGGCAGTGTTTTCCTCATCATTCCCTTCCCACTCATAGAAGTCCAAAAAAAATTTGCCTGTTCCGAGTGCGGGAAATGCTTCACACAGAAAGCTCACGTCGTTAGACATGAAAAAGTTCACTTGGACGTGAAGCCATATTCCTGTTCCGTTTGTGGAAGATGTTATGCTCACAAATCCCACCTTACCAGCCACTTGAGATCCCACACTGATGATAAATGGCACTCGTGCCCTGACTGCGGAATATGTTTTGGACATAAAGTATCTCTGGTCAGACATCAGAGGATCCACACCAACGAGAAGACATTCTCTTGTACGGAGTGTGGAAGATCCTTTACCCAGAAATCCCATCTGGTTGACCATTTTAGGATCCACACAGGAGAAAAGCCATACTTGTGTTTGCAGTGTGGGAAGCGATTTACAGTCAAAAGAGGTCTGGTCAGCCACGAGAAAATCCACAGTGGTCAAAAGCTGTTTTCCTGTTCGGAATGCGGGAAGTATTTCACCCGGAAATCTTATCTTGTCAACCATCGGAGGATTCATCAACGCGAGCTGCTTGTCTGATGTTTCCCTGTGAGGGTCATGTTTTTAAGGGTCATTCCACCCAAGACTGATCTTCCACAGTGCAGTACAATGTAGGAATGAAGACTGGCTATGACGTACAGATATTTCCAGTATTGTTAAAGCTGACGTTTAGGCACGGCTTTTTCTGCATTGCTATATGGGTCCAGCTTGGACCAATGGCGAGAGGAGCAAATCCGTAATAATGCTTATGATTTTGGAATGGGATGTCCAAGAAGCTCAATTAAGTGTAATTGTCATTTGACTACGAATAGTTGACCATATTTTGTACTTAGTTGCTAACACTGGGATGAAGAGATTAATTTACTTCCAGAAAAAAAACCCTTATCTGCATGAGTTTGTGTTTGCATGCACTTCCTCTGAGCGTTTTTTTTTTTTGTTTTGTCCAAAAACATACTAGCCGGTTAATTGCATTATTTACAACAAAAAAAAAATATTCCTAGTTCTTAGGGGACTGATTTAAGGATGTTAGACTGCTAGGGAGATACTAAATCAAATGGTCTGGTATTCTCTGTAAAATGCTTTCAAATTTATTGACATTAAACTGATTCATAGAACAGATTCCCAGTTGAATATTTTAATAAAGCCCTTCCTATCCAAAATGCTCTGTTTCTTTGAAGTCCTTTATTGTTATCTAGAAACATTTTAGATTTCTTGTAGCACCTACCCTTTCATCCGTCGCCATGAAAGAAAGCGTCCCCATAGGGCCTGTGTTGCAGCAAAAAATATCATCTGATTGCCTTTCTTGTTTCATTGGCTGACTATCATTACTTGAAACTGTACTCAGCCAAAGCATACTGGCCAGCATTACATAGTTACATCTGGCTGAAAAAAGACAAAAGTCAATCCAGTTCAACCATTAAAAAAAAAAAATCAAGATCCAGAGGAAGGCAAAAAAACCCCGCAAAGGTTGATCCAATTTGCTCCTGCAGGGGAAAAAATTCCTTCCTGATCCCCCCAGAGGCAATCAGATATTCCCTGGATCAACTTTACCTATAAATGTTAGTATCCAGTTATATTCTGTGTATCTAAGAAAGAGTCTAGGCCTTTTTTAAAGCAAGCTGGCCAGAACCAACCCTTTAGGGAGTCTATTCCACATTTTCACAGCTCTCACTGTGAAGAAACCTTTCTGTGTTTGGAGATTACATTTCTTTTCCTCCAGACATCAAGAGTGCCCCCTTGTCCTCTGTGATGACCTCAGGGTGAATAACTCTACACCGAGTTCACTATATGAACCACTGATGTATTTATACATGGAGGTCATATTCCCCTTATGTATTATACATGGAGATCATATCCCCCCTTATGTATTATACATGGAGATCATATTCCCCCTTATGTATTATACATGGAGATAATTTCCCCCCCTTATGTATTATACATGAAGATCATATCCCCCCTTATGTATTATACATGGCAATAATTTCCCCCTTATGTATTATACATGGAGATCATATCCCCCTTATGTATTATACATGGAGATCATATCCCCCTTATGTATTTTACATGGTGATCATATCCCCCCTTATGTATTATACATGGTGATCATATCCCCCCTTATGTATTATACATGGAGATCATATCCCCCTTATGTATTTTACATGGTGATCATATCCCCCCTTATGTATTATACATGGAGATCATATCCCCCCTTATGTATTATACACGGAGATCATATCCCCCCTTATGTATTATACATGGAGATCATATCCCCTTATGTATTTTACATGGTGATCATATCCCCCCTTATGTATTATACATGGAGATCATATCCCCCCTTATGTATTATACATGGAGATCATATCCCCCCCTTATGTATTATACACGGAGATCATATCCCCCCCTTATGTATTATACACGGAGATCATATCCCCCCTTATGTATTATACACGGAGATCATATCCCCCTTATGTATTTTACATGGTGATCATATCCCCCCCCCCCTATGTATTATACATGGAGATCATATCCCCCTTATGTATTATACATGGAGATCATATCCCCCCCCCCTATGTATTATACACGGAGATCATATCCCCCTTATGTATTTTACATGGTGATCATATCCCCCCTTATGTATTATACACGGAGATCATATCCCCCCTTATGTATTATACACGAAGATCATATCCCCCCTTATGTATTATACATGGTGATCATTTCCCCCCCTTATGTATTATACATAGAGATCATATCCCCCCTTATGTATTATACATGGAGATCATATCCCCCCCCTTATGTATTATACATGGAGATCATATCCCCCCTTATGTATTATACACGGTGATCATACCCCCCTTATGTATTATACATGGAGATCATATCCCCCTTATGTATTATACATGGTGATCAAATCCCCCCCTTATGGTGATCAAATCCCCCCTTATATTATACATGGAGATCACATCCCCCTTATGTATTATACACGCAGATCATATCCCCCCTTATGTATTATACACGGAGATCATATCCCCCTTATGGATTATACATGGTGATCATATCCCCCCCCTTAAGTATTATACATGGAGATCATATCCCCCCTTATGTATTATACATGGAGATCATATCCCCCCTTATTATACATGGAGATCATATCCCCCCTTATACACGGAGATCATATTCCCCCTTATGTATTATACATGGAGATCATAGCCCCCCTTAATCTCCTCCTCTCTAGAGAGAATAATTCAGTTCCTCTAATCTTTCCTCATAGCTGATCTCCTCCATGGCTCTTATCAGTTTGGTTGCCCTCCTCTGTACTTTCTCCAGTTCCCCAATGTTCTTTTTTGTGATTTGGTGCCCAAAACTGAACTGCATATTCCAGATGAGGTGTTACTAATGATTTGTACTGTGGGGGGGGGGGGGGGAGAGAATAATATCTCTTCTGGAGTCTATGACTCTTTTAATACCAGAGGATTTTGGTTGCTTTAGAAGCCACAGCTTGGCATTGCATGCCATTATTAAGCTTGTGATGTGCCAGAACCGCCAGATCCTTCTCCATTGACCCACCAGATCCTACTCCACCACTGATTCCCCCAATTCTGAAGGTTAAAGTAGGGGCTTTACTCACACACTCGGCAGCCACATTGCTGATGACTGGCACTTATCACTACTGGTCTTTGCTAAGAACAGTGTGTTGATTAATTCTTTTTGCCCTATAACACATGTATAGCACCGTCTGGTCATTCACATCTGGGCCCAGAATCCACAAGGTACGTTCCAATTTTGAGTTTGATATTATGAATTGAAACGGGACAAAATTTAGATCTTCCATGACTTTCAGCCCTAGGGACAATGGTGGCAAGAACAAATAGAAAGGGTAACCTCCCAGGTTAATGGGAACAGCAATGAAACCTTACACTCTACAATTTGTTTGATCCTCAGCATGACCCAGAACCCTTCCAGGCTGCAGAGAATAGCCATACACCATCATCCCACAAATCAATGCCTGGAACCTCAAGAATTCACATGGTAGCGTTAGGCTACATTTACACTTGCAGTTGGGGGGTTGGAAATGGTACAAAAAGGTAGAATGACATATTTACCACCCTCTCCATTACTTTTAATGAATTAAACCATTAAAGTAGTATGAGACCATACTTAGTCCTCAGTTGCGATTTTCTTCTGGGTCTTCACCACTATCCATGTCCTCACCCCAAAAGAAGCTCTCCTGCCTTCAGAAAGGATAAATGTTCACCCCTTAAAGTAGCCTTTCTCAACCTTTTCAACGCAGAGGAACCCTTGACATAACTTTTCCGGTCTCAGGGAACCCCTACTAAAGATGACTATCTACAATTCATGATACATCAGTGTGATAGAGGTAAGAATGTTCCTTGAACTGGTGGTCATTGGGAAGAATTAACCCCTTAAAGATTGCTAAAAAGATCAATGATGTCAGTAGGTATTTACCTGAGAGGCAAAAATTGCTCAAGGAAGCCCTAGAAACCTCTGGAGGAACCCTAGTTGAGAAACCCTGCTTTAAAGTATTAAAACGTATTCTGCTACATCTCTTTGGTATAAACGAAAAATGTTATATTAATTGGTTTGTGTGAAAGTTATAGCGTGTACAAACTATGGTATACTGGAATTTACGCAGCTATGACACTATACTGGTAATGGCGGTGATCAGCGACTTATATTAGGAGTGATAGTGTGATGGGCAATCTGGAGTTAAAAGACACTTACTGGGAGGGACACTGACTGCTAGTGACACAAATACAGTGATCAGATATAAGCATCGGCATGTTTCAGCCCAAATCATTGTCTGACAAACTTGTGCTGTGTCCAATCACAGCACAGGTCAGCATGCGCATACGCGCCCAAAAAGAGATGGCGACGTACATGTACATTGCAGAGCCTGTAGTGCATTTACTTGGAAGTGGGTAGGCAAGTTATAAAACAAAAAAAACACACAAAAACCACATCCAAAATAAAAAAATATATATTTATTTGGGGGTATATATATATATATATATATATATATCGGGCAGACTGAAAACTTATGGGGACCCTGGGCAACAGGGGATCATGGGGCCCGTGTCCTTGCCCACACTCAAAGCACACCCAAAAAAAGCCTATAAAAGGTACCAGGGGCATTTCATGGGGCCCCCAACTGACCCCGGGTCCTTGGACAGTGCCCGAGTGCTCAAATGGTCAGTCTGCCCCTGATATATATATATCAACCCAAACAGGGCAACCAACCAAATCAATAAATATCAAGACAGCGCTATTCCCAAAGAATCTCTTATAATACAAAAGTGCTGAAAAATAACTATGAAAAAAAAAAAATGTGTGGGAAAGTGTCCAAAAATACAATACAGGTGAAACTTGAAAAATTAGAATATCGTGCAAAAGTTAATTTATTTCAGTAATGCAACTTAAAAGGTGAAACTAATATATGAGATAGACTCATTACATGCAAAGCAAGATAGTTCAAGCTGTGATTTGTCATAATTGTGATGATTA